CGACAAAAGGGGTGGAGGTGGGGATGACAAGGTTCATGTCTTCCAGGCTACACGTTTTGAACCTTGCTTTGAAACAATATTTTGGAGTCTGTAAAATATTCCTGCTTTCACCAAATTCATGTCAGACATATTGAACCAGTTCTTACGGCCGACCTGGTTGGGAATTACAAAAACAGTACTTCAGCAGAATTTGGAAGGCACCAGTTTGCGGCAGGTTGTTTTGCTTCATTCATTTTCTTTTATCCACCATAACTATTAGTTTAGATTGTAATTCTGTGGTCATCTAGATATTGTGAATTCATTTATTATCTTTATTATACTGCCATAAGGGATGCTGGGCATTGTGGTTCAGAAGGATCACATATTCTCCACTCTTTTTGTAATAGTGAATATGTTTGCATTGGGGGGAGGGATGGTTGTAAGCAATTCTGAATACAGCTCTAAGTCTGATATAAATCAAATGACTATAATTTTTCTAAATTCAGATCTGTGCTGGGGCCAAACCGTATAAGAAATCTGAAAACTTTGACAGTAATACTTCTATTACCCTATAAATGTGATACTGTATAGTGAACACTATATAAATGTTCCACAGGAGTCCCTTGTAATATACTTGCCTTGGGTCCAGCAATATGTCTGTCTGTGAGGATATGCTTCTTTGCAATTATCGCAAATGTCGAGTCAAGCTTTCGGGCTACGCATGGGTCACAGCCTGCTCACATATCTTCTGTGACCAACATGGCAGTGGAGAGTTCAGCCGATCTCCAGCAGTCTGTCCAGCTTGCACCAGTGCCCTCTCTGGCAAGTTGGATATTGTTCGGACAGAGCTCAGTCCTTCTGAGGAATATAAGGCCATGGTATTAGCTGGACTGCGCCCAGAAATTATTCTGGATATCAGCTCCAGGGCTTTGGCTTTCTGGACATATCAGGTAAATTATATCCAGTAATGGCAGTTTGAATTAGAAAGACTTAACTAAGACTTTCAAAGTCAATACCAGCAACATATCTTGGGCTACTGTTTTAGGCCTTTGAAATTCTATTTCCCATCTTTTATTATCACAGTAATGCTGCTTTTGAAATAACTATGCAGACTGGGAATACATTTATTTTTGTCATAACTTTGGATGTTGCAGCAAGTATCTGAGTCCCTAAACTCTTAGTTAAATTTTGAAACATAAGACCAACTGTTGATATTGACACCAGGTTTCACTGCATTAAGAACTGTTATATACACAGTTATATTCAGAACAGAGGTTTCAATAGAAGTCAATCTGGAAAACTTCAGTTTTTTGTAACAGCAGGGAAATATAACATTGCATAATTTTTTCCATTGTGGGGCTAAATCATGCTTTAAAAATGGGCATAATGTTTTAATGTCTGTTTAAGATTTTATGGTATAGACCATATATGGGGTTTTCACAATGCAGCTGGTTTTGAGACACTATTTCACAGTAATTTTGAAGCACCAAAAAACTCTGCCAAAAATGAATTCAGCATTTAAGTAGTCCACAGAATGCTGTATCTGAGTGACACAAGTAATTTCATCCAGATCTTCCCAAGACTTATACCTTTCCACTTATTCATTATATCCATGTAGGTCCATCAAGAGCGTTTGTATCAAGAATATACCTATAGCAAAGCAGAGGGCCATCTGAAGCAGATGGAGAAGGTCTATACACAGCAACTCCAGAGCAAAGATATGGAGCTGACATCTATGAAGAGTGAAGTCTCTTCCTTAAAGAAAGTATTGGAGGAATACAAAAAGAAATTCACTGAGCTCTCAGAGAAACTCATGGAGCGTAATCGTCAGTACCAAAAACTGCAGGGCTTGTATGATAGCCTGAGGTTACGGAATATTGCTGTGGCCAATCAGGAGGCAGGCCAAGAGCCTCCCATGATGCCTCAGCCTGCTGTCTTTGGTTTCCCTCTGGGTAAGAATGGTGGCTTTTAGTCTGATAGTTCACAAGCACTTCAATGACAGGGTGAATAATGCTTGGCTATAATTCATGCACAAAGAGCATTATTAAAATGACATGGGATTGATGAGGACATTAGGTGTCAGACAAGTGCATGAATGTGGCAAGTATTGCATACTATGCTATGCTCCTGTTAATAACTTACTGAGCATATTTGGCTTTCCTAGCAATTTAAAGATGTGTTATCTAAACACTGTGGTTAGCTAGACCTTTTAATTATCATACTTCACTGACTGTTCTCTAATTACGTTGTGTTAATGCACGACCACAGCGTAAGTAACATTTGCCTTTCCTGATTGTTGAGTTCCTGCATGCATTACATCATACTGAACATGGGATAAATCCTGTGATCTTGAATTTCAGACTGTTGATAGACTGCAATGCACAACCTAAAGAAAAGTTGTGGCATTGTCCTGAAGTAAGACTTCAGTTTTGGGATTGGGACATGAAGCATTATGATGAATCCTAACCATTTTTAGATATTATTTTGAAGCTAAGCTATTTTTAAACAGTCTGGATATTTATATTGGTTATTTCCAGAGTAAATATCATACTAATTGATATCTGTATATTTTCTCCTATGGAACAATAGCTTTGGGAGCCAATTTAAATTGGAAAAACTGTGGAGAAAGGTTTAAGCAACCTTTCCCCAGCCCCTGTGGCTGCAGTATGGTTTACTTTAAAAACAAAGAGAGATTCTGATTCTGGATCTCCCACGTAAATGTAATCTGGCCCTTATTAGGTGCATGTACAGGTGTTTGGCATCAACATACCAGTGTAGCTAATAATGCCATATTTACAGTATAGGAAATTAAAGCCCTTCTCTAATATCATGTCTCTCACTCACATGTTCTAGGTAATGCTGCCAGGCTCTCTGGGAACACTACACCTATCCAGGGCCGGCGTGGTGAGGGGGACTTCCATTTCAAACCCTTCTTTGCCTCCTCTCCACCAGTGGGCGAGTCTGGCAACAGCTTCTTTTCCTTTGCCTCTCCCGACAATGATTTGGAACACCACACAGGAGGCAACAGGGCTTATAAAATTAAGAGAATGTAAACTCTAATTTGCATTTAAATTTAATTGCAGGACCTTCTGAAAATCCACTTCAGTATTTACGGGCCTGAGGTTTAAAAATAAACAAAATCTCAACCCTAGAAACCAGATTTTCATTACATGAGTGAATGTCTAATATTTTCCTGAAAAACCGAGCCATGCCATATGTTAAAGCAAGAGTTTCTACAAAGAAAAAGCGAGAGTTTTCAAAGTCAATATTTTTTAAACTGTTATATTGCTGTGTTACTGTAGTTTACTTGTGCA